CTTAGCCTGCTCCAGGCTTTATTCTGCCTTTACTCAGTTGTGCAGCCCAGGCACTCCCTTATCCCAAAAAGCTTTTCCTATGTGCCAGTTCCATTTCAGCAAGCCCACACTGCTCCAGCATGGTTCTCCCATATGTTGAACTGTACCTTCATGCTCATTTGGCACAGCTCGTTTAATCTCTTGTAGAGACAATAACCACACTTGAGCTAATCACCCTCCTGCTCTGGTAGTGGAGGATTGTTAGCTTTGAGGTGATATGATTTAGTGTGAGGTGTCCCTGCCCACGGCAGGGGCGTTGGAACTAGATGATCTAAAGGTCCTTTCCAACCCTAACCATTCTATGTGCTATATACAATCCCTTCTAGATGTTGCTTTAGAATGAGAGGAGCAACCTCCCCAATTCCCTTGGATTGACAGACCAGGTCTCCATCACCTGTGTTATCCATATCTGCTCGGGCAGACCTCTGTCTTGACTTACATCCAGAACTGCTCCTTCAAGCAGCTGTTTGCTCATTACCATGTGCTTGGACATCCCACTAGAGACAACACGGAGTAGAAGTATTGCAGCATGGAACCACTGCTGTAACAACAGGACATTAATCAAAGGCATTCCCAGCATAGTGAATCCCAACCAGAGCCGAGTGCAGGCTCAGGGTTGGATCTCTTTGGCATGCTTTAAGGGAGTGAAAAATGGTGATCAACACTGCAAACAGCACCCTGAGGAGTAGGTTGGGTTTCTTACTGGCAGGGAGTCAACTCTTTCGCAGAATACACCCAAAACTGTTACTGTGATTTGTTTAACCGCTGCTCAGGAGGAAAACCCATTGCCTCTGGGCTTCTGTGGGATAATAGGAGCTTGGAGTGGTTTTCTCCATAGCTAAACAAAACTACAAATATAATGCTGGTCACAGCTGTTACCATATGACGAGATATTTCCTCATGGAAGATCAGCATAAAGTTTGAAGAAGACAAGGAGTACATGAGGTTCTTTTAGATTTTGGGACAAAGTGAAATTCCCTCTATTTAGTGCACTTTGTTCTGTGATGTCTGATGGACGGATGAACCTGCTCTCCTCCTACCCACTGCCAGTGTACACAGAAATAACAACTGTGTGGGACTCGGAGCAATACCAGTTCAGGCACAGACCCTAGAAGTCTTTTCAGCCACACAGCTTCCATTATATTTAAACACCTCTGTTTCCATGCTCTAGGATGTTTCTATTCTTTAGTAGGTAATCTACATCTAAAGCTGCCTGCCACTCTTGGCCAAGCTTATGACGCTCAGGGCTGTTCAGCTTGGCAAAAGGCAGAGGTGTCTGAAAGCTGCTTGATCTAAGGCGCCTGGAGAAGTAAGAGCTTGTATTTAATGTTCAAGCAGCTATCATGACTAAAGACTTGGTTACTAATGGCTTGCAGAATGTCCTTTACTTGGATCCCCTCCAAGCACCTTCTGCCCTGGAGGGTCCCCCCCTGCTCCCAGGGTGCATATGATCTTCGCTTTCCTATTTCTCCTTTTATCCAGAGGATGAAAATGGAGGATACCCACTGGAATGGCAGCTTTGGGATGGTGCAAGTAGAAATAACCTGAGCCCAACCTGTAGCCTCATTCCAGGGACAGTCCTCAGTCACATAGTGAAAGTGGTGACCTACTCGGGGAGGTTCTGAATGCACGGTCACACAGTTATTTGTTCTTGTAGGAAGCATTCCTCTAACTAAACAAGACCATGCTTCAAAGCATGGGCTTCACTTTTGCTCCACAGCTTAAAGATATGCCAAAACACAGAAGATGCCTGCTTCAAGTTTTCTGCAGTGCCTCATGTAGTAGCAGTGACTGGTCTATAACCTGGAGACGTTCCCCAAAATACAGGTTGAGCCTTTTTCCTTCTCTTCTACTGGCAGCTTACCCCCAAATCCCTTTCTCCCTGCCTCACTTGGAGCCAAGGGTTGCATTGCCTGTGTGGACTTCAGGCTTGGCAGGCTGAGATTGAGCACGGAAGGGATTTAATTTTACAGGATGCCTTTTTGCTTTAGATCCTCCAAGACAGGTAAAAAAATGTGTGTGATATTCATAAGCGTGATTCTTTGTACTGCCTAGAGCCAGACAAGATGAATAACACAAGAGCAGAGATCGAAACATTGATACGTTCGTATTCGTGAATTTTAATGTCAGAAGGGACAATTCTGGGTTGATCTGTGAATGTAACTTTAAACTTCACCCAGTTATCTCTGTACTAAGACCATCAACTTGCATTTGCCTAAGCGGTACCTTCCAAAGAAGCCTTCAAGTTTGAATTTGAAGCTACTGAGGGATAGAAGCTCTATTGCTCCCCTTGGTACGAGTGTCAATGATCCATCACCCCTATGTAAAATGTGGGCTTTGTTTCCCATGTGAATTTACTTGGCATGTGGCTCTCAGCTATTAGTTCTGTTGATGACTCTGTTAGATTAATGGGCCCTTTAGCACCAGCAGCTTCTGCTTGAAACAATATTTGTGCACTTCCCAGTCTTTTCTTTTTTTTCCTTTTTTGTTGCAATAATTGAATTCAGACTTTGAGCATCCCCTCACAAAGCATTTCCTCACATCCTTGCTAGTGGATGTATTCTGCATCACCTTTTCCTGATACCCTCATGTCAACCCAGAGGTGTGTGAAATCTTCCCATTGCTTACCGCTGTAGCACAGAGGTATTCCTGAGGGTTTTTATGTTGGATAATAGCAGTAGCTTTCCTTATTGACTGCCTTCTAGGACATGACACCCCATTGTCAGGCACATTCTGTGTCCCTTGCGTAATTTTATATCTGATTCTATTAAAACAGTCAAATTGGAAACACATTGGGTCTAATACTGACCCCTGTAGACTCCCAACAGAAATATCTCCTTCAATGTCAATGTACATCAGAGGGCTTCTTCTAGAGAGCTGCAGTTAGGCTTCTGCTGAACCATTTTAATGTATGTACTACTGGCACTGCGTTACCTTCATATCATGGAACCCTGTGAAAGTGAAACCTTACCAAATCTGATAACATGATGTTACAGACATGCAGGCAGCTTTATCAGACAAACTTAGAATCATGCCAACTAATAAAATCGAGTTTGGAAGCACCTCCTTTGTATACAAGTGCTTCAGCTAAGATTAATATTGCACCTCTTCTTCAGTGAATTATGACTTGAAGCCTGTATCTGATTTTTCATTATTTTGCCTGGAATTTATGTCAGTCAAACTAGCGTGTATTTGAGGCTCATTGTTGTATATCTTGCCTGATTATTGGCACAGTGTTTCAGTATTTGGGACCTGTCCCAGTGCTCCAGCACAGATTATAAATGAACATCAGTGGGCCAGCAATTTACTCAGCCAGCTCTTTAAGGACTCTTCGGTATGGCTGTTTAGGCAAGCAGATTTCAGCCTGTTCATCCATAGCAGATGGTGTTTCCAATTCTCCTTGCTTACTGTTGAGCAGAAGGCACTTCATTGCCCCCCCCACCCCATCCTATGGAGCACATCCCACTGCCTTCACCCATCTACTGACTGCCAAACACTTTGACCTCTTCTGCATCATGGTAGTTGACTTGGTACTGGCCATCAGTAGAGGAAAATGAAGTCGACTGTCATGCTGCAAAGAGGTTCATAATACATTGCTTATGCAGATATCATTCCTAACCAGAGAGACACCCAAACATATGTACAATTCCATGGTTTCTCCCTGATGTTGGCACTTACCTGACGCTTTATTTCCATACACAGCAGAAACTGAGATACATCCATTTGGTCTTCTCTGCTGATGTGTTTCAGCCCTGTTCTCTCCTATTGTCTGCCAGTGTAGTTGTGTCTATTAACTGAAGCTTCCACAAAGATAAGATTGTGTGATGTGTCAGGTCGAAATGAATGAGTGCATGGAGGTCAATTCTTTCATAAGTGAAAAGGTTAATGCCGGGCTGTACAGGATGAGGTTATTTTTGGCCTTTTCTTGTACCAGTGAGGACACTTAATGTCTTTCTGCAAGGTCAATAGGCATATACTCAGTGCTCACTCAGCTGGGATATTTCTAGATCATAGGAGTTAAACAGCCAGTATTTGGACAGGTGACCTCACAGGAAACACCAGTGACTCAGTAGGTGCGGTCCTTCTGAGTCAGGGCTGAGATGTGATGCCAGACGATGCTGTGTTGCTGGAGGACACAGTCTGTATTTGAAATACAAACCAATTTGAGTGTTTGTGGCCATCTAATATCTCATGATATTGCACTGGATGATAATCCAGTTAGGATTAATTTAGTTGGCCTCCCTAAATTGTTTCTGCCATCCAGTGTTAGCAGGATGCTCCTCTCCTTTCCTAAAGGTTTCAGAAAGAGCAGGCTGCTCTGGCTAATTGAGGGAACTCAGGAGAATATTTTTAGGGTGGATTTAAGAGCCCAGAGTTGTATCATTTGCAGTTAAGGCTATGTATGCTGTCACTGCAAGAGTATTGGACCAAAGCATTGTAACCTTTGCCTTTTCCCCCATGTAGAGGGCAGATTTCCCTTCAGAGCATTTTAAGATATGTAAAACGCATCCAACCATCTGGCCTAAGAGCCAATGCTGATTTAAGTGGGAGATGCTGGTGAGGGGCAGCTCCTGCTCTAAGACAAAGACTTGGTGGATGTAATGGCCCCTTTTGAGTAAATACATAGTAAGTGAATATCTGTCACAAAATTGTCTTTCTGCTTCACGGGTAAGATCAAATCACAAGAGAGAGAATGGCAGAGCAATATAATAAATGATCTATAATAACTCTTCAGTCTGTCATACATAGCAGAGCATCTTATTTGTCTCAGACTCATTTCCTGAAGCAAGAGGCACTTTGAGACAGCGTTCTTCCCCAAGGACCAGCTTTCACTGCCACATGTAGGAGGCTTAAGGGGTGACCGAAACCATCTCGCTGCCCTGCAGCAGCATCCACAGCTCTCTGCTCCCTCTGAGCATACAGCTCTCATAAGTCCTTTCTCACTGTGTTGTTTCTTGCAGGTAAACTATGACCACTTTACTATTAGTGTTTGTGTGTTTGCAAGTCATCACCGCAGCCACCTCTGTGGAGCTCTCAGGTACGTGCCTTGGGCTGAGGGAAAGCGGGACTGAGCAATGTGCTGTTCCTCTGTTGGGATGACCACTGTGCCATAACCTCTCACTACTCTTGTACTGAGAGCCAGAGAGGTAGCTCCAGGAAAAGGCAGATTTATGGGGAAAATAAGGGAATTCCAGCATTCTGCTTTTTAAACCTTATCAGGTGTGATCTGCCAGTGTGGACTGCAGCAGAGCCCTTCATTCTCACATCCAGCACTGGTCTAAATCCCCAAAGCAACCATGGCACAAGGTTGCTTATAACTTCCCTTTCTGAAAGTTATTTTCAGCAGACTAAGCCAAAGAGGTTACGTCTGAATATGAAGGTACAGGTTTGCAAAGCAAATACAGGCATTGGAGCATATGGAAACACTGGATATTTGGGATTATATTCATTATTGAAGTAAGCATTATTTTGTTTGGGAATTGGCAGACAGTAGTGATGGCCTGGAAGTCAAGATACCTGAGCAGTCACCCCTGCGTGTTATCCTGGGAAGCTCCCTGAACATCCCGTGTTACTTCAACATCCCAGAGGAACAGGACACCAGCGCTCTACTAACACCACGGATCAAATGGAGCAAGCTCTCCAATGGAACCGAAGTCGTCTTGCTAGTGGCTACCGGTGGGAAAATCCGGCTCAACACCGAGTACAGGGAGGTGATCTCTTTGCCCAATTACCCAGCCATCCCCACTGATGCCACTTTGGAAATCAAGGCCCTGAGATCCAACCACACTGGGATTTATCGCTGTGAAGTGATGTATGGGATTGAGGACAGACAAGACACAATAGAGGTCATAGTGAAAGGTGAGATCCTGCCCTTGCTCTCGCCTCTCGAGGAAAAGCAAGGCAGAAAGGAGGGAAGAAATATACGGGCAGAGGAGGTACTGCTCTCCCTATAGGCATAAACCCTTTCAGTCAGGTCATAGATAAGGCAATGGGATGGTGAGTGGAAGCCATGGGTCAGTCATTTATTTTAGCAGGCTAGGACCAGACTAAACAAACTAGTAAAGTGACTCATGGCAGAATATATGGCAATAAAATGACTCTTCTGGCAGAATGTGAGTTACAGAGACGACAAGACGACAACCTTGGCAAGAGATGGTGCTGGGCACGCTGGGCTATGGCTCAGAGGGGTGAAGCTGGGCTGTTACGAGACCTTTTATTTCTTCCTAGCATTTTAGGAGATGGGATGCCCTCAGCTGTTCTAGAAAAACCTTTCCCATCATCTCACAAAGCCTGTCCTAGTAATGGGTGGATAAAATAATAAGTTTCCTACAAGTCTCATCCTGATCAGGGCTTTTGCTTTCAGAGTAGCACAGAGACAGCTCCCACTACAGCAGTTAAGTGGCAGGTCTCTGCTGCTCACGTGCATTGAAGCTTGTGTCTGACAGAAGAGGCTGGGAGCTCCCCATTGCCTCCTGGTGAATATTCCACTTGAGTTAACGCCCGCTCATGCCAGACCAGAGCGTACCAATAGCCATCTTCTATAAAATACATATTTTGGAGCAGGTCTGGAGACTTTCAGTATATTTATCTCTTGTTATTGTTTCCTGGGTGTTTGTGCACAGTGGTTGACACCCTGCACCCTTGGTCCTGAGCAGAACCTTGGGAGGTGACAGCTTTCACAGTCCCTGCTCTGCCCCACTGGCTGTTTTCTGAACGCTGCACAGAGCTGTGTCACGAAAGCATTGAGACCCAATGGTGATATTAGCAATGTGTTCTGGGCAATGGGTTTGACCCCACTGTTCACACTACTATTCAGGTACTGGTTTTTAATGCACTATGACTTTGCTACAGCACTATGGGAGAGCAGTCTCTGTCCTAGGTCACAAGGTCCTGTGAAAGGAGCCCGTCAAGTCACCCTTGGCTTGGGATGCTCAAATGCAATCTGTATAAATAGTCCATTGTTTCTAGTTGATACATGTAGTATCTGTCCAAATCCATAACTTCTCTATAAGGGGGGGCTGGTTGCTCTCCAGCAGACGTGAGTGATAACCCTTGTGTTTTCCAGGCGTCGTATTCCACTACAGAGCCATCTCCACAAGGTACACCTTGAACTTTGAGAAAGCAAAGCAGGCCTGTATCCAGAACAGCGCTGTCATTGCTACTCCTGAGCAGCTGCAAGCTGCCTATGAGGATGGGTACGAGCAGTGTGATGCTGGCTGGCTGGCTGATCAGACTGTCAGGTAAGGAACAGTGAGGGGAAAGCCACAGCAGGGTCACAGGGAAGGGCTTCTGTAATGAAGACACCAACTGAAAATGGTTGAGAAACCTGCTAAAGAGCAGGTGTTGTAGTTGGTGTGCAGAGGGAGGTGGCAGATTGCCCATCATTTTCTGCCAGGGGGGAATCTGTAGCAGGAAAGCAGGGTGACCACTGTCCTCCTCAGCTGGTGTTGACAGCTGAGGGGGCAATGGTTTAATCATGATCCTTCATCTTCCCTGAACAAAATGATGCTATGCCCAAATGCACCAGTGTGGCTCCACTGTAGGACTCCTCTCACTGGGAGATACCTTGGCCTGATGTCTTTGGCCAGTGGTCCTGCTGTGCTCGGGACCATCATGGGGAGGACAGGACAGGAGATTATCCCTCCCTTTCCCCATAACCCAGGAAAAGCCATAACCCATCACACTGTGCTGTGCTTCACAGCTTCATCCTAGCCTCACTGTGGCTGCCAGGGTTCTGCCCCCCTCACTCCTTACACTCTCTTTCCCCAGGTACCCCATCCACTGGCCCCGGGAGCGCTGCTATGGTGACAAGGATGAATTTCCAGGAGTGAGGACCTATGGCATCCGTGAGCCAGATGAAACCTATGATGTTTACTGCTATGCAGAGCAAATGCAAGGTGAGTTGGGGCTTTTATTGTTACTAGATGCAGAAACAGGACAAAGCTCTGATCATGCTTAGACTGGACAACAGTAAATATAGAAAGGCAAAGGGTCTAGAGACAAGACAGTTTAAAGATACCCAGCAAGGCCAGATGTTCTCTACAGTCTCTTTGTTAGACCTTGGACAATTTTAATGTCAAATGACTAATGCATTACAGAGGGTGGAGTCTGTCTAACCTCCACATGAATCCATGGCACCTCTGTTCATCCATTTGAGGGTGTGACATTGAGGTGCACATCACCCACTCTTGTGACGGGGATCCATTGGAATATTCAGCACATCAGAACTGAAATTTTCTTTTGTCTTCCTCTTGCCCTGTGGCTCCAGCTGGTTTGAGATGTCTGTATTCATTTGGACAGTCACCAACATGGGGTTGCAGTTCAGCAGTGACACACGGGGCTTTTCATCTTATCCACACTCTCAGGAGCGGGAAGGGGAAACCAAAGGAATTGGGATTAAATTGCACAGCTCAGTCCTGTGCTAACGGGTGCTGTGATTGCAGGTAAAGTCTTTTATGCCACCGCCCCCGAGAAGTTCACCTTCCAAGAAGCTTTTGACAAGTGCCGCAGCCTGGGGGCCCGTTTGGCCACCACCGGGGAGCTGTACCTGGCCTGGAAGGACGGCATGGATGTGTGCAGTGCCGGCTGGCTGGCCGATCGCAGCGTCCGCTACCCCATCTCCAGAGCACGGCCCAACTGCGGAGGGAACCTGGTGGGAGTGCGCACAGTGTACCTGTACGTCAACCAGACCGGGTACCCTCACCCCAGCTCTCGCTACGATGCCATCTGCTATAGTGGTGAGTGCGCTGGGGCTGCGGGATGAGCAGTGCGCAGTGCATCAGGAAGCAGGGTCTCCCTGGCCAGAGCTAACATCTTGCTGCTTTAAGCTGGTTTTAAGAGGGGATGAAAGCAGGTTTGGCAAAGGACTCGGTCCTTTGTTCGTGTTCAGGTAGGAAGCAGATCCAGAAAGGATGCCTGACCTGTACAAGAGGTGGTGCTGTAACCCATCCCTCTTCTCTGCCGTTGTCTTTCTCCCACGGCTCAGACCTCTTGAGGTTATCCAAGCTTCGCCCCCTCCCTCCGGCCACCTTGAATTCCTTGCAGCAGGCACTAGAGGTCAGTGCAGACTTGAATATGGGCAAGGTGTTCCCGGGAAGAGCTGGAAGGAGAGCAAGGAAAGTCCGCTCTGATTTACCAGCTGCGGAGCGTGTGGTGGCTTATTGCCTCCAACTCATGAGCATGCCCTTCGTGCTGGGGTGTAGTAGAAAGCAATAGCAGAAGCAAGGAAACAATTCCTTCTATCAGACCATCATGATTTCCCTGCTCCCCTCAGAGCCAGCAAAGACCCAGGTTCTCAGGGGCTAAATTGATCGCATCCTCTCTGATCTCTGCTTTGTGTCCTGGTGCAGGGGATGGCGTTGAGACTCTGGTGCCAGGGCAGTTCATTGACGAGACTGGAAGCGAGCTGGGCAGCGCTTTCACTGTGCAGACCGTCACCCGCACCGAGGTGGAGCTGTCACTGCCCCGCAACGCCACCGAGGAGGAGGCCCGCGGCAGCATCGCCACGCTGGAGCCCATGGACATCACCCCCACCGCCACCGAGCTCTATGAGGGCTTCACAGTCCTGCCCGACCTCTTTGCCACCGGTGTCACAGTAGAGACAGAGGCCCCAGAGGAGGAGAACGTGACCAGGGAGGATGTCACGGGGGTGTGGGCTGTGCCTGAAGGGGTCACCACCATCACCTTAGGCACTGCCATCACTACCGAAGCGGCAGAGGTGAGCACGGTGGAAGAGGCCCTGGGGGGGACAGCCACACCAGGGCTGGAGCCAGCTTCAGTGTTCACAGTGGAAGATCAGCTCGTGCAAGTGACAGCAGTGCCCGGTGTTGGTCTCCTCCCCGAGCAGCCCATCTCCCCCACGGGTAAGTCACCAGGAATGAGAAGCCTGAAGGTCGGTTTATCTTTGGGGTAACCATTCAGCTGAAAACAGCCTGAGCTTCTGCTATCACGAAGTCCCTGGGGATGTGCAGGCCTGTTTGGGGTCAAGGATAGGCTGAGTACATCCATTGCAGTATGACAAGGAGGGGTGAGGAGGAGGATGCGAGCCTCCCCATCATGGGCTGAAAAGGACCTAGCCTGCTGATGCTTGGAGCTGCAGTGGTCACACTGTGCTCCCATGTGCATCTGCCCCCAAGAAAGGGGAAAGCCAAGGTAGGAAGATCCTAGAGAAAGGCTAAGAAGATTCCCAGAATATGGCAGTGGAGCTAAATGAATGAGGCATCTCCATCAAAGCAGGGTTGTCAGGCACTGGTCCCTGCACTGCTGTTGGGAAGACACTTTCTGGTCACATATCTTGGTATGGGGAGGGTCCCGTATCTATTGTCTCACCACAGCATCTCCTCTCCCAGGTGTGGTGTTTCACTACCGTGCTGGCACCAGCAGATACGCCTTCTCCTTCGTCCAAGCCCAAGAGGCCTGCCTGGAGAACAACGCTGTTATCGCCACTCCAGAACAGCTCCAGGCTGCCTACGAGGCTGGGTTTGACCAGTGTGATGCCGGCTGGCTGCGGGACCAGACGGTCAGGTACTGATGTGGGGAAGGCACCTCCCAAAATGACTGCTTACCCATGAAACTGAGGCTTTACTCTGGCTTGTCCTGCTGCTCTACTCATGGGCATCTAAAGCTTTGCTGACCTAAGGCTGTCTCCAGGCCATGATATGTAGTGGCCATTAGATGTGTTCTCAACCTGTCCTACCCAGTTCCTAACCTGTGTACCTATTCTGCAGCGGTGAGCTCCCTGACATGTAGAAGTAAATTTTGCATTCATCGCCCCAGGCTGTAAGTGGGCTTGTTTCCAAGTCATGCTGGGGTCTCTGAGCACCCCTAACAGTGAAGTGCTTGTGTCTTGCTCCCAAGTACACTGAGGTTCTTCAGTCCAGGGTACATAAGGTTGACCTTGGGTTAACTCCTTTTCTTTTGGTAGGTATCCCATTGTGAACCCCCGAAGTAACTGTGTAGGAGACAAAGAGAACTCTCCGGGCGTACGGTCGTATGGCATGCGCCCAGCCTCAGAGACCTATGATGTGTACTGCTACATCGACAGGCTCAAGGGTACGTTCTCCCCATTCCTATGGGCACTGCCGTGGAGCAAAAACGTGCTTCACACCTCCACATCTGCATGCATATGGATGGGATGCAGGGACTCACGCCTGTTTCCTCTCCCATCCCTCAGGCGAGGTGTTCTTTGCAACCCAGCCAGAGCAGTTCACCTTCCTAGAGGCTCAGCAGCACTGTGAGAGCCAAAACGCCACACTGGCCTCTGTTGGCCAGCTCCACGCCGCCTGGAAGCAGGGTCTGGACAGATGCTATGCTGGCTGGTTAGCCGACGGCAGCCTCCGCTATCCCATTGTGAGCCCCCGTCCTGCCTGCGGAGGGGATGCGCCTGGTGTGAGAACCATCTACCAGCACTACAACCAGACGGGCTTTCCAGACCCACTGTCCCGGCATCACGCCTTCTGCTTCAGAGGTACCTTCCCCTTGTTGGAGGGTGTGGAGAGCTGTCTCCTCAGGGAAAGGCATTCCACAAGGGAGGTTGGGAATATTGGGGTGCCAGGTCGGGAAAGCACCAGCACCCTGGACTGTGACTTGTTGGGAGCTAACTCCAATTCCTTTCTGTTCCAGCTCTGCCACCTGCGGAGGAGGAAGGGGTCACCTTGTTCTTTGAAGATGTGCTGGCAACCCAAGTGATCCCTGGAGTGGAGGGGGTACCCTCTGGGGAGGAGGTGACTGTGGAGACAGAGTTTGCCACTCAACCTGAGAATCAGACAGCCTGGGGGACTGAGGTGTTCCCAACCGATGTGTCGCTGCTCTCAGGTGGGTCAGAGCTTCCCCATCTCCTGTGTCACTCTTGGTTGGTGTTGCAGGGCTGGGACACTCAGAATAAATGGGCTGTGTCCTTGCTGAAGGGGAATTCCTCAAAATCTTAATGATTATCACCATATTAGCAAAGGCTGAGTCTGTGCACACAGGAGTTACACATGTATTATTGAACTTCTAGCTAGGACTGAATGAATGACCGGCACATGCAGCATTGCTAGAGCACCTCACAAAATATATTGTTGTGTTTCTGGGGTGGCAAGCTAGAAACAGATCTCATGTCACGTCTTCTACAAAGGACAGAGCTGCAGCGTGATTAGAGCAGCACCAGTCTTGTTCTCTTCCAAATGTTATCTCCAAGGAAGCAGTAGCTTGGTTGTGGCACCTGAGAATTAGTGTGGCTGTTGCCAGCATCCTCAATGTTCATTAACAAATTTGAAGGGACCAAATTATTTCTGCAAGCACATGGGACTTTTTGCCTTTACCTCAAAGGTATCAGCATGGAGATAAGGTCAATCAGGAAATTAATAGCCTTTTTAGAACAGCTCAGTAAATAATCTTCCTATCTTCCTCTCTTTGTTTTCTCTTTCTGTTCCAGTGACCCCATCTGCTTTTCCTCCTGCTACCATAATACCAGAGGAAACAGCTACGGATGCTTCTGTCAGCGAAGTGTCAGGGGAGGTGACTGAGTCTGGAGAGCATCAAGTCAGTGGTGAATCTTCAGCATCTGGCTGGGTATCCGGAGTCCCGGATACAAGCGGAGAACCGTCTTCTGGAGTTTTTGGAGTTGGTGGAGAACACTCAGGGATTGGAGAAAGTGGATTACCATCAGTAGACCTGCATACCAGCGGCTTTCTACCTGAAGAAAGTGGGCTACCCTCAGGGGACCTGAGTGGTGTGACTTCTGGTACTGTTGACATCAGTGGCTTATCTTCTGCAGAGGAAGACGTATCAGTGTCTATTTCAAGGATACCAGAGATTAGTGGGATGCCATCTGGAGTGGAAAGCAGTGGGCTGCCTTTTGGATTTAGTGGAGAAACAGCTGGCACTGAACTAGTCAGTGGCATGTCATCTGGAGAAGAAAGCGGACTCGCCTCTGGTTTTCCTACTGTCTCTCTTGTGGATACCACATTGGTGGAAGTTGCAACAACAGCACCGGAGCGGCGAGAGGAGGGAAAAGGATCCATTGGAGTCAGCGGTGAAGGAGACCTCTCAGGGTTCCCGTCCGCTGAGTGGGACACAAGTGGCAGAGCCCAAGGGTTACCCCTGGGAGAAGAGCTCAGCGGGGAGCCCTCTGGAGGGCCTGAGCTCAGTGGGGAACCTTCTGGGGTACCTGAGCTCAGTGGGGAACCTTCTGGGGTACCTGAGCTCAGTGGGGAGCCCTCTGGAAGGTCTGAGCTCAGTGGGGAGCCTTCTGGGGTACCTGAGCTCAGTGGGGAGCCCTCTGGAGGGCTTGAGCTCAGTGGGTTGCCCTCAGGACTGGATATCAGTGGAGAACCATCTGGAACGCATGAGATCAGTGGTCTGGTGGACATAAGTGGCCTTCCTTCTGGTACTGATGGAAGCGGTGAGGCCTCAGGCATTACCTTTGTAGATGCCAGTTTGGAAGAAGTGACCACAGCCCCCTCAGTTACTGGAGCAGAAGCAAAAGAGATCTTGGAAATCAGTGGGTTGCCTTCAGGAGGTGAACATGCATCAGGCATGGCATCCGGGAGCTCAGACATCAGTGGGGAGCCTTCCGGGCACGTGGACTTTGGTGGGAGTGCTTCTGGAGTGTTCGAGATGAGCGGGCACCCAAGTGGAGTCATTGACAGCAGTGGAGAAGTCTCTGGAGTCGATGTCACCAGTGGGCTACTGTCGGGAGAGGGAAGTGGACTCACCTCTGGCTTTCCCACAGTCTCTCTTGTGGATACGACTTTGATAGAAGCTGTAACACAGACATCAGTTGCACAGGAGGTGGGAGAAGGGCCGTCTGGGGTAATAGAGATCAGTGGATTTTCCTCTGGAGACAGAGGACTCTCTGGAGAAGGGTCTGGAGCCGTGGAGACCAGTGGGTTTCCTTCAGGGACGGGAGACTTCAGCGGAGAGCTATCAGGGATTCCGTACATCACTGGAGACACTCCTGGAACCACAGATCTAAGTGGCCAATCTTCAGCAGTGACTGACGTTAGTGGGGAGGCCTCAGGGCTTCCAGAAGTCACTTTGGTCACTTCTGATCTAGAAGAAGTTGTGACAAGGCCAACAGTATCACAGGAGCTGGGTGGGGAAACAGCCGTCACATTTCCCTATGGTTTTGGGCCAAGTGGTGAGGCCTCTGCATCTGGTGAACTAAGTGGGGAAACATCCGCATTGCCAGAAAGTGGTGTAGAAACATCAACAGCTTATGAAATCAGTGGTGAGACACCTGCATTTCCTGAAACTGGTATAGAAACATCCACGACTCAAGAAATCAGTGGTGAAACATCTGCATTTCATGAAACTAGTGTAGAAACATCCACAGTTCACAAAATCAGTGGGGAGACGTCTGCCTTTCCTGAATTCAGCATAGAAACATCAACAATTCCAGAAGTCAGTGGGGAAACATCTGCATTTCCAGAAGTGTTCATAGAAACATCCACAAGTCAAGAAGCCAGGGGTGAAACATCTGGCTACCCTGAAATCGTCATAGAAACATCCACTGCTCCAGAAGTAAGTGGGGAAACCTCTGCGTTTCCTGAAAGCAGCACAGAAACATCCACAATACAAGAAATCAGTGGGGAAGCATCCGCACTTCCTGAGATTAGAATAGAAACATCCACAAGTCAAGACATCAGTGGGGAAACGTCTGCATTTCCTGAAATCAGAATAGAAACGTTTACAAGTCAAGAAGCCAGGGGTGAGACGTCTGCTTACCCCGAAATCAGCATAGAAACATCCACAGTCCATGAAACCAGTGGGGAAACATCTGCCTTTCCTGAAATCAGCATTCAAACCTCAACAGTCCATGAAATCAGTGGAGAAACGTCTGCCTTTCCTGAAATTACCATAGAAACTTCAACAGTCCATGAAATCAGTGGAGAAAGTTCTGCATTTCCTGAAATCAGAATAGAAACATCCACAAATCAAGAAGCCAGGGGTGAAACATCTGCCTCTCCTGAAATCAGTATAGAAACATCCACAGTCCATGAGACTAGTGGGGAATCATCTGCCTTTCCTGAAATCAGCATAGAAACATCAACAGTCCACGAAATCAGTGGGGAAACATCTGCATTTCCTGAAATCAGCATAGAGACTTCAACGATCCGTGATATTAGTGGGGAAACTTCTGCCTTTCCTGAAATTAGCATAGAAACTTCAGCAGTCCATGAAATCAGTGAAGAAACATCTGCCTTTCCTGAAATTAGAATAGAAACATCCACAAGTCAAGAAGCCCGAGGTGAAACGCCTGCATTTCCCGAGATCAGAATAGAAACTTCTACAGTCCATGAAATCAGTGGGGAAACATCTGCATTCCCTGGGATTAGCATAGAAACACCAACGAGTCAAGAAGCCAGGGGTGAAACATCTGCCTATCCTGAAATCATCATAGAAACATCCACAGTTCAAGAAGTAAGTGGGGAAACGTCTGCGTTTCCTGAAGTCAGAATAGAAACATCCACAAACCAAGAAGCCCGGGGTGAAACATCTGCATTTCCTGAGACCAGCATAGAAACATCTACAGTCCACGAAACCAGTGGGGAAACATCTGCATTTCCTGAAATCAGCAGGGAAACATCCACAGTCCATGAAACCAATGGAGAAGCATCTTCATTGCCTGCTGCTAACATCGATACAGTTGCTAACATAGACATAGCTGCCACATCTTTGGCCAGTAGTGAGCCCACTGGTGCTCCTGAGAAGGAAACTCCTGACACAACATCTGGATCTGTGACGCACTCAATTGCAGGGGAAGTCTCTGTCCCAGACATTGTAATTAGTACCAGCGCTCCAGATGTGGAACCAACACAAGGACCCAGGAACCTTGAAGAAGCTCAGCTCGAAATAGAGCCCTCCCCTCCCGCGGTGTCAGGACAAGAGACGGAGGCAGTAGTTGTTCTAGACAATCCCCATCTGCTGGCCACCGCTACTGCTGCCCTGCCTCAAGTCCCACAAGAAGCAATAGACACATTAGGACCCACTACAGAAGGTACTGTGTCTCCTCATATGGAAGGGAATGTGCTCGGGAAGGAAGGGAGGGAGGGGGCATAGCTGTTACTTTCCTTGCTTCTTCCACAGCAGCCAGCATTAACACGGAAGCAGGTTTGAGCAGAGCAGTACTGTGGTGGGAAGCCACGCACATGTGGAATTTTTCACGGGTTGTGTTCGTTGAATCATAGCATCATCTAGGTTGGAAAAGACCTTTAAGATCACCGAGTCCAACCTTCACCCCAGCACTGCCAAGTCCACCACTAAGCTATGTCCCATCTACACAGGTTTTAAATATCTCCAGGGATGGTGACTCCACCACTTCTCTGGCACCTGCCCAGAACATGATGGAGGCATCCTCTGCTTGTGCCCCCTGGGGTACCCAAGTCATCACATAAGTGATAGGGATGTAAGTGAGCTCTCCCCTCTTTCCTACTGGGTTTGAGAAAGAGTATTCTGTGAATGGTCATTGAGAGCCACTGTGACCAGGTCCCTGGGTGTAATACATCTGGGAAAGCACTGGGGCATTCACACCTCCTCTGAGTTTGCTCTAAGGCATCCTTATACTCCAGAGAAAACAACAATCTTTTTCCTTTTATGTGGAAAGGACATAAAGAGCAAAGACAGCTCCACCCACCAGAGAATTCCAACCTGGCTGTGGATGCAGCCAGGAAGTTGGATAAGATGGGCTGCAAGGCTCTGTCCTGTTTCGTTTCTCTTCGCATGATGTGTTGACTTGCTGCCTGTATCCCCAAGTGTTTCATAGTGCTTGATCCAGAGTGGGAGGCTGGCCATCAGCAACTTTGCATTGCCAAGGGGCAAGAGGCAAAGCAAGCCAGCTGGGGATAAAAACTTCTGCTCTAAGCATCATCTGCAATGTTTGCATTGAGCAAACTGCTCCGATCCCTTTGGCACAGGGCATGGCCACCCTCTGGTTTGTCTTAGGCTGCTCTCTGCAGCTAGAATGGGCTGAACGTGTAAGACGATGCTCAGGACATCGATACCTTTTGTCAGCTCCACTGACAAATGCCCTTCCTTCTACCCTGACCCTTTCTGGTATTTTAGTGTTGTCTTTGGTAGGATCCCTTGTTGCCAAGTATAAACAGACACAGTATTCAAATCTGAGCAACCATTTGTGGTGAAAACACGCTGTCAGCTTTCTGACAAGCAACCCCCAAGCAGTGTTCACAGGCTGTGGAGGCACTGGGATACTGCAATGAGAAGAAAACAAGATGGGATGTTGTTGTGCCTGCTGGTGGCTGCTTCTTGGTAGAAGAGGAGCCCTGCAACATCCCTGGCCACAGCTTGGTTTCACTCTGCTGCAATTAGGAGGCTGTTCTTGTGTTTCCTGTTTGAAAACCATCAGTGCTTGTGTTGTTGTATGAAGGTCTTACATATGCTCAGTTCCCAAGGGGTTACACCTTCATGTGGGACAGTTGCTTAAGCATGGTATAAAATGTACACGTAAAGAGATTTGTTCAGTTCCTTTTAACAAAAGTAATATTAATTCCACTCCCTTCCTCCATTTCCTCATGAACTGCTGCTTTTGGGTTAATTTACACCATTCAGCATGGGTAGCTCTGGACTCAGTAAGTGTCTGTAAATGCAGGGCTTTGTGCAGCTCAGTCTGGTTTCTAACATCATTTCCATCCCCAAAGTGTTCCAAATGAGTCACTACGTTTCTCTCTGCATTGCTTCTCTCCCTCTGAGAAAACAGGTAATCACAAACCTTTGTTCAGTCCTGCTCATAACACATTTGAGGTCCTGTCTGCCTCTGCTGAGCAGAGGATACTGCAGGAGCGGATGAGGGCAAGTCAACGGGGTCATTGCTGGACGCCTGGCACTGCATCCAGGGCTTGGCAGGGTGCTGTAGGATTTATGCACCTAAAAGCCTTCTTTCCACAACCAATGTGCTCCGCTTTTGGGCCATGCTCACTGCCACATCCAATCCTGGACATAAAAACAAGCCAGCAAAGGCAGGGTTGAGGAAAAAGAAGGAAACCAGCCAGTGAGGCTCAGCAAAAAAAAAAAAGCCCAACAAAAAAACGAGAAATATTGGCCCCAAAGTAGGGTTTTATTTCACTGCTTTTTCTTTTTATAAATTACCCACAAGGCGATTGCCAGATTCTTGGGAGCATTTGTTAGCCAACATTCTCGTGAAGTATTTGGAAAGAAAACCATGTGTTCGGCAGCTCATGTGTGAAGAAGCTTGAGAAATGTTCTGAAATTGGAACACTCTGTGTATTTGTAAGTGATGGGGATGATGATGTAGCAGCTGGGGTTTCTTAGCAGGTGACAGGGAGAGGTAAGTTTAACTGTAGGCTCTTTATATAAACTAGAGATGGGCTTGAGTACACGTGTGAGAATGGTGCTCCCCCTAGGGAAGATATTCTAGGGTAAAACATCTCTTTTTATTGGCAGGTTTCTTTACTACAGTGTCCCTGTAGGGTTAAATGCAGTCAGGGTCTGAAGGAAACTCATCCAGGTGGCAAGAAGTGTATTGGCCATGAACTGGCAAGGCCATTTCCAGAGAAATAGAGCAAAGTGATGACAAAAGAAGGACAAAAAAAAAAGGGGGAGAAAAATAATCACAGATTTCCTTTTTTGGGTCGTTACCCTTTTTACAGTGCTCTGGGGATTGTGAACATGGAAAGCCTACAAGGAAAAGAACCACAGGCTGGAGCCTGAAGTGCTATTTCTCATGTTGAGGCTGCCTTTCCACCTGAAGCCTCCCAGTTCTTGCAAAAGGATCAGTTCTAGTATCTGTGCCTTGTGCTGTGCTCAGAGTTTGAAGCGTGTAACAGATACCCATTAAGTGCAATTAATTTTAACTAGCATTGAAGCACTCATTCAGCTAGTGAGGAGCAGGAAGACGTGAGGCTGTTGTCCTCTTGTCCCATCATTGAAGGGTTCCAGTTAGATCTAGCAGTCTTTTTAGTGGGATGATTAAAGAAGAATGGTGTTTTTTGCTCTGCTGTAGCCTCTACTTTTAGAGAAAAGCCAGAAGCACAAGAAGACTGAAAATTAACACTTGGAGTGCCAGTATTTTTTTAGTATTTAACCAAATTGAAGGCTATGCATGCAGTTTGGTTCCCCCATGAGAACAGGAGCCCCACAAGCTTCAAGAATAGTCCATAGGCTTGGCTTCTCCATCCAGAGTTTTGCCAATTCAGCAGCTCTTTTTGCTGCTTGTAACATTGGAAGACAAATAATTATTAGTTGAAAAAAGCATGCTGGCGCTGCATTGGAAGGCTGTGGTTTGGAGCTCTCTGACCAGTCAATGCCTTAAAAACTTCACTCAAGTTAGGGGCAGAAGAGAAATGTGCTGAAATGGCAGCTACTTATGTTAAGTTTTGCTTGCCTCTGGTGAAACAAGCTCATGAGGTCTGCTGCCTATGGCCCTGATACAGCTAAAGATTAGAATCCAAATGAGGAAAGGTCTTGATGGGCTTTCCTCTTTCTTCATACCCTGGAAGTCTGAGGGATAGAGTTTTGTTGGTCCAGAGATCAACCCAGAAGGGAAGTCTTGAAAGCATTCACCTGATTCATAATGTCTCACCTACTATGATATGAGACATTATTGAATGGAATGAAGACTATGCTCCTAAGAAGGACATGGAGATAACAGTCCTGCTTGAGAGACAAGCAAAGCGCACACCACTTGTGGGTAACCAGATGATTTGATGGCACCTGGATGCACTATTTTGCATTAGAGGTTTATTAGCTTCATTAAACCCTCTCTCTGAAAGGTAACTGCAGTCCTGGACTGTGTTATGTACATTTCAGTTTACTTCCACACATAATATTTGAAGGCAGAGATGTCCAAATTTCCTGAGCTCTTCTTCTATGACAGTGTTGGATAAATTGAAGGTCCCAGCAGATCAACAGGTTCTCCTAGAAGTCTGCTATTCTCCAGGTGAATGTAACTTTAGAAGGCTGTAGGAGCACCTGCCCCTTCTGCTGCATGAAGGTTTTAGTTTAATTATTGTAGTTAATTATTTTAATGACTTAATTACTCATCATAATTCACACGCTGGCTGTGATATTCAATACTCCTCTTTTACATAAAATGAGAGAGAACTATTTCCCCCAACTCCTCTTATTCTTTTCTTGTTGGAGTCACCCTACAATTGCTCCAATGTTTTTCCTCACTGTCTGAGCTATCAGATCATCAATTCAAACTTCCCAGGAGCCTCTGAAAAGCAAATTTAGTTTGCACCTAGCTTTTTTTTCTTCCCAAAGATAATTACCTGTCTGGTTCCCGATTCCCTGTTTGGATAATTGCACTTACAAGGAAGCCTATAAAAAAGGGTGATGGGCACAACAGGGACTGTTTGACATCCTAAAAATGCCTTGCCTTTCTGTTTTACCTTTTTCTCTCTGCAGGGCAAAACTGAGTTTAAATCCTAGGGTATATTTCTAAACCAGTTACAGAGAGACTGCCATTTGTTCAGGGTTTGGGTGATAGCAATGGCATCCTCTCTGTTCACAAGCTGCTTCTCCTTCATAGATATTTTAAGTGCAAAGCTGACCTACTTTAATGGGTGTTCTTGCTCTCTTCCATGCAGGCTGCCATCAAGACAAATGCACAGACTGTATTGTTTTAAGAACTGTTAGCACTGTTCCTAGTATTGTCTTCTTAGCTTGGGATAAAGGATTTTCAAAGCATTTCCTTTTCACCACTGACGCTGCGTGTTCACTTTCGCTGCCATTTGCCCTCTGAGCAAAGCCAGGGCCAATCCATTTCTCTTGCATTTCTAAAGGATTTCTCTTTCCAATTTCCATGATCCAGTACAGCAGATTGTTTTCAAAGGCATTGGGAGAATACTTGTGTTAAGTTGCACAAAAAGGAAACAGTTTCTGACTAAATATAGTGTTGATCTGGCAATGTGAAAGAAATCTTAGACAGAAAATGGTGAAACAAGTTCAAAGTTTGCATTGTAACTGTGTAACTCTCCTTGCTTTTTCCAGCCAGCACTTTACATCTTCCAGGTGCAAGACCTGGGTTACAGTGAATATTTTAATTGTTTTATTAAAAAAAGAGAAAATATCCAAATATCTTGGGTCTTGTTAGCAGCAAAAAATAGCAACGGTTGTGACAATAGATTTGAATGATCTTTTGCAACTTCTGGGCGATATTAACTGTGGTACAAATTGTCTTCTAGAGAGCTGCTAGTTTTTCATTATCCTCAAGAAGTGAGTTAATAATATGTTTGAAATGAGCTTCCTATTCTTGCCACTGTAAGGCATTTTCTCCCCTGTCTCTGTTTTAGAGCTGCAGCTCTTGAAAGTGAGGGCTGCCTCTGTTCTGCACTCCATGCCACATCGCTTGTTCTTTGTTAGCACTGGGTAATAATAGCAGTTGTCTTGTCTGTTGATAAGCACTTGAAGGGCATCTCAAAGCAGTGCTGACTTTGAATGACTGCTCACCCAAGCAAATAAATAGCTCCCTTCTGCATAAGATCCTTGTGTGTCAAGGTACCTGGCAGCTGGTGCTGTGGACGTAGGGGCTTGCTCGATGCTGCGCAAAACACACTTAGTGTGCCGCAGGTTTGTTAGCTGGCTGAAGAGTTGTACAGTGGTTTACTAACCTCATCTGGCCCTAAGCAATGTGGTAGTAGACATGTAAATGGTTAAGAAGAAAATAGCCATGCATTGCATGATAGATGGGATTTATTTTGTTTTACTAGAGTTCTCACTTCCCATAAATCCTATGGCTTAGATGCGATATCCTAGAAACACCTAGAAACCAGCTTGCCAGGTTTTCCAGAGACAACAGAACTGTTGATTTTACTGTTTAGAACTTACTTCTCTAAAAGACCTCCAAGACCCGGATTTTCTGGGAGGATCAGAATCAGCAATGCTTCCTCCAGCCTGGCAGATACATTTGAGTTTCCTGATATCAGCTTGCTGAGGTGATCCTCCTGATGGAGGTTGGGTCACTGCCCCAACAGCCCGACAGGCAGAAGATGGGAGTTTGGTATATATGATCTTCATGTGTTTAAAACGTCTTCTCTCCAGCCATTTGCAGCCCACTTCTGGAAAGAAAACCTGTCTGTGTCTCACTTGTATTTGTTGTCTGTTTTTAACAACACTACCTACAAGTACGCACCCGTTATGTGCCATATATAAGAATATATATGCTTATATATGGAGAGATATATAACATATATATTACATGCACATATTTTTTGCAGTATATATAATATGTGCAATCATATTATATACAATATCTGTAAAGGGAAATTCTTTTCCAGCTGGCAATCTGGGGCAATGACTTTGCCTGAGACCAGGGATGGCAACTCACAGTGGGTCTGCTGCATCTCAGAAGAGATCCTGGACACAAAGATTTAGTCCACAGGGTTGAAGACAGTCGAAGACTCATTATTCCCTGCTAAACGTTCTGCTTTAGCTCTCATATGTGCTTTGTTCCACTTATACAGCATGCATTCCACTTCACGGAGCCTAGCAGACAAAGAGAGCCTTTCCTTACTTGTTCAGCTGGAGAACATTGGAATCAACATGAACTTCTGCTGCCACTGCTGTTGGAAAGCCCAAGAGGCCTCTGGAGTTGTAATCATCCCTCAGGATACCTCATTTTCCTTTATGCTCTCTATCATACAGGAACTCCAAGTGTGACTCACAAGCAATAGTCACATTTAGCTTCTCTATTCTACCAAGCCTGTGACCTCCATTTTGTTCTGGAAAGTCTCAAAGTATTTATTAGTGTCATAAAAACAGGAGATCTCTTCATATTGCAATGAACAAAGAAGTCCAGAACGCATTCATCAGTATTTAGAAGGGCAATCCAGAGGAAAAACTGCAAAACTGGAGTAAGATGTTCATCAGCCACTGGAGGAAAACCTGCATTGCTCTCAGCAATACAGCCTAGAACAAAGATGCCATTCTTCTTGCTCCAAAGCACAAAAGGATTTTCTCCATCACTTAGGCATGTTACAGAATATGTCAGCTTTTTGTTGTCATATCAGACATTGGCCACAAAGGGACTAGACAGTTACGTGGGGTATAACACACATCTGCTCCTGTATGTCTGAGGACACAGAGCAGCTGGGCCATGGCTCTGCAAGGAGACATCGGATCAAATATACCCCAACCAGAACACGAACACAGACCCTGGGGAGTTGCTGTTCTCCTCTGGCATTTCCATAGTCAGCATGTTTAGTGTCTCGGAATGTTTCCTCACTAACCCCTCTCATCCACAAGAAGAGCATGGAGTGTTAATTGGAACTCATAAAGCCTTTACGTTTCTTCTGAGTGTGAAAGAGAGAAATGTCTCGCATGAAGATCTAACCTGTCATCATTTAACCTACCCTGGGTGGATGTGCTCCCACTTTCTTCCTCAGTCTTCCTCCTTGTTTCTGAGCTGAATGCCTCTGAAATGTTTCCATTCTGAATGATTCTTCTTCTGATTCCAAAGCTCAATAAGTAGGATTAAGGTTCAGCTTGGAGAGAGAGTGGGAGAAGAGCTTTTACTTCCAGCACAAGCTAGATTTTACAATATATAGATACCAACTGGCTACCTGTGGCCTTCTTCAGAGCATCTATGCTCATAAGGATCTGCTAGGGAATGGAAGTGCTACCAGATGGTGTAATTTACTACCCAGGCTTTTGCTAATTAGCTAGTTGAGAAACATCGGAGAGCTGGGGGCCAAGCTCTTCATATACCAACATCTCTTTTCAATCTCCAGAAAAGCAAAAAGGATCTCAAGGGCTGTTCCATCTAGATTGGAAACTAAGGGTAGTTTCCTTCACCAAGATGGAATCTACAGCTAAAAGATGTACCAACTTCTTCCAGCCCCATCACAAGCAAGTAAGCACACAGCTGGGACAAGTCTGGAGAAAATGGTGCTGAGCTCCAGTACTCTTCAAGGAAGAGACACCTTAAGCTAGGCTTAAAATCCTCAAAGGGAAAAAGCTGAGGTTGTCTGAACCTGCTTCTTTTCTTCTCTGCACTTTCTTCATCTTCACTGAGAAGAGATTTCTTGCCCTGGAACTTCATCTAAATTACAGTCAGGAAGAAACTGATAGTGAGCATTGGCAACCAGGAAGGCCTTTAGGAGACAGAGATATATCTCAGGATGTTTCCATCACTTACGAGAATTCCACATTCTTCTTTGTAGACCCATAGCTGGTGGAGACACAGACAAAAGTTTGCATGTTCGATGCATCAGGCAGACAGCAGACAAGGAGGAGTTATCACAGCTGAGTGCTGTGTATTAGATTCATCTTGCTGAGTTTGTGCTATCTTCAGAGTGGTGTTCAACCGTCAAGTGACCGACAACCAATGTCTTCCTTGTAGGGTGGGCTGGGTCTCTTGCCTTCATTCTTCCAGCAGCAGCAGTATGTTTTAAAATAAGACCCTTGCAACTCCCAGGTTCCCCAAAACCGACTGATGTTCCTTCCTAAACAAGCAAGGAAGCAAGTTCTCCTGTTGGTGGAGTTGTCTGCCCTAATGGAAGCCCTTGATTTCTTGCAGACACTGATGAGTGCCACTCAAGCCCCTGTCTGAATGGAGCTACCTGCGTTGATGGCATCGACTCTTTCAAATGCTTATGCCTTCCCAGCTACGGAGGGGACCTGTGTGAGATCGGTACGGCCTTCCTGGCTTCAGCTAATCTTACTAACTGCCACATCACCTTCTTCCCCCAAAAAGGTGACCCCCAGTGCTCCCATCAGCCCTGCCCTCATCTCAGCAAGCTAACCACTAACAGCAGCTTAAAATACGCTAAGGAAAAGGCTTTCAGGCTTGTGTTTATGTATTTTGATTAGTTCATTCATCACAGCACCGTGTCCTCTAAGGTTCCTAAGCAGGAGCTTCTGGTGTCTTCTTCAGCTTTCTCTTTAAGTTTCTCTAGTGAAGCTCCATACAATGTTCATCACAGAAGTCGCTCTCTCTTTGAGCCAAGGGTCTTTCTGTTCATCTGTAACAGTAGGGAACATCCGTACATCTGAGTACATCTTCACTCCAGGCAAACTTTCTCTGCTGGACTGGAAATTTCATGGAAGGATGCTTCAACTGAGCCATGGAAAATGATTGCGTTTCTCGCTGTGAAGATTCAGCTGAGAGACGCCTCATTCACTCCAGGAATCTCCACCAATTTGACATTTTTGTCATCTCTTCAGCATGGCTTCCTGTGGCAAATCAGAGGGGAATGTGTAACTTTGAGAAAACACCAAGTGACCTCTTTTCCTATCAAAACTAGACCTACACTAATACTTCTGCTTGTTTCTACAGAGAAAGAAGAAGATTTGTGGGTTTTTTTCTTAAAGCTGGTAAAAGTCCAAACTTGCATCAGCTTAGCTGAGGGGAGGAAGCTCTCCTGTCTTGCTCAAACGTGAGAAATAAGGTAGCAGTGTCTTCACCTTGCCACAAGTAATGATAATATATATTGGATTTCCTTCTCCCCTTTCTCTTCATCTCTCTTTCTGCTTCCAATATGAGCATATGGAGTAAACCATAAGAAGGCAGCTCAGGGTGACTGGACCATCTGGGCAGGAACTGTGCTGCCTTAACATCTATTTCCTAATGCAGTCTAATTAGCCCCTGATTTACCTGTCCCTGCCACCTGCTGTTGAAGATCCCTGTAACCCAACAAGAGACTTTCCACCCTGCAGCTGCTTATAATCTCTTTTGGTCCGAGTCAGAATGAATTTCATCTTTTCTCTGACTTATGGGCTCATGATGCCTGTGGGCTCCAGCCTGGGAGGTGCAAGAGGAAGCCAGTGCCCTGAATTCAGTGGGGAATGTAAATCTTCATTGTTCCTATGAGGCAATCGTCCTTTCTGTTGGTGTCCATGAACAGTAGGACATCATAGTTGAGCTCTGCTACCTGTACATGCAGCAGACCTCATCACCATGGCAGTGTCCCTACCAGGGAACAAGTTTGTCATCATCCTTTTCCAAGATGATTGCCCTCATATTTCCTCATAAGTAACAGCTCTGTAGGAAAGAGTGGCCTCTCTCCTAGGAAATGTCCCACTGAAGTTCTGTGCCATGTGCTGTCCTATCCCCAGGCTGTGATGACAAGGCGTGTGGTGTTCAAGCTGCTGGAAAAGGCTTAAATCTCAAAAGACAGAGCGTGTTCTCTGCTCGCCTTGTGTAAGCAATCTGCCTGTAAGGACCAAGAATCCTTAGAGGTTCAGCTAGTTCCAGATAATCAATTTCATCTGTTGAAGAAGGCAGGAAATGTTTTTAGTGCCTCAACTAACTACAAACCCTTCCAACATCTAAGAAGCCTCTGCAGTCTCCAGCTGGAAGAACACCAGAAGGGTGGATTAGTCTGATAGAAGGTGACAAGTGCTTTGACCTAACAAGTTTAACAAAGAAGAAAGGAACTGAGTACAGAAAACCCTACTGGAAAGGCAAAGAAGTGTGAGGACTCATTAAAGGCTTCCATTCCAAGAATGACAAGTGCCTGAGGGATGGTAAATTGGGCATCTGAAAGGCTGAGGTTAAATAGATTTCATTTCCTTCAGCCATATGGAGTATGTGTAGTGTTTTGCATTGACTGGGAGCCTTTTCTGGTGGTTTCCCCCTTTGCCTTTGCTTTCCCCAACTTGTTTTCCCTTATTTTCCCTAATTAATGGATTCAACTCTTTAGTGTTTCTTAGATGGTAAGAGGTGTCCTGAACTTTCTACACTTTAGCAGCTTCCAAGCTTTTTCCTTGAGATTTCATTTTCCACCATGGTAAGTTCCTGGATCCTTTTTTCTCCTCTCTTGGTAGGCTTGCTTCTCCTCCAGAGCCACAGAACAACACTAAGCAATGCAACCACCCAAACCTGGGCTCTCCTCCCCTCTTTCATTTTCAATACATACATATTGATTCTGGGCATCTGGACTCAGGTTTTGGAGTCTTTCCAAAGCAAGAAAACTCTGTACAAGTGGAAGTGAAAGATTCCTGCTTTGTCAGTTCCTCAAAACCAGGGTCCAGGAACATGATACAGGGATTGAATTGCTCAGGAATAAGTTTGTATCATTCAATTTTTCTAGTAGCGCTGGTCACATTACTGCACACATTGGGTCTTCAGCACAGGCTCCCCTCTCTGTGTCTGCTTTGGATGCCTTCTGGTAATTTTCCCTAAGATTTCCCACAGGCAACAGTGTCAGGGTTTGTTTTTTAGTGGAAGCAACCGTGTGTTGTCCCATGCCATGAGAGCACGAACTGCTAAGAGGTGAGTTGGAAGGCTTCCAGACCATGCACCAACTCCTTTTCATCCCTCCTTTGTGTGTTTCAGACCAGGAAAACTGTGAGGAAGGCTGGACCAAGTTCCAAGGCCACTGCTATAGGCACTTTGAAGACAGGGAGACTTGGATGGATGCAGAGGCCAGATGCCGACAACATCAAGCCCACCTGAGCAGTATCATCACCCCAGAGGAGCAAGAGTTTGTAAACAGTGAGTGCTGAAGGCAGCCTGAGACTGGGCATGGGTCTGTCCATTGAACTCTATGGAGTCTATGGACAGATTTAGCCAAAATGACATAAACCTCACAATTTCCCTCACTGGTGCTCAGATATTTCCTCACCCTTAAGTGGAAGAGGAAGAGCCATCCAGCTCATTTCACGGGGGTGGAATAGATGACCTTTGAAGGTCCCTTCCAACCCAAACTATGAGTCTATGAGCCGTGAGACAGGAAAGAGCCCTTTCTCAGCTAGGACAGAACTTTACTTTCACCACATTGCTGATGTGGCTTGTTCACAACACGTTCCCTTGATGCAACAAGCTCAGTGACCAATGCTAGTGTAGATGGATCTGTGCTCATGGGACACTGAAAGAGGAGATGGACAAGCATGATACTGGGGGTGGGGGGAAAGGGACATCGGAGAGAGCTGAGATAAAGAAACACTTCCAACGAGGTACATGGGAACCACGACCCACTCTTCTTTCTCCCTTTATCTCTTCTAGGCCATGCACAGGACTACCAGTGGATTGGCCTCAGTGACAGAGCTGTGGAGAATGATTTCCGCTGGTCCGATGGGCACTCCCTGGTAAGCCTGAATCCCACGGGACATTCAGTGGGGGGAAGAGGTTCCCCTTGGGTGGAAAAAGTCCCATGAGTTATGTGCTGAGTGCTTGGGTTGGGCACTGAAAGGTGGAGGCAGCTCTAAACTTTGTAGAGCTCATGGTCACCATCGCAATAGATACAACCACTGTAGTAGCAACTGGTGAGGCAGCAACAAGGATGGAGGAGCGAATAGGAGATGAGGGCTCAACCTTTCCTCTCCCTGCAGCAATTTGAGAACTGGAGGCCCAACCAACCCGATAACTTCTTTGCGGCGGGTGAGGACTGCGTGGTGATGATCTGGCACGAGCAAGGCGAATGGAACGATGTTCCCTGCAACTATCACCTCCCTTTCACCTGCAAGAAAGGAACAGGTCAGCACCCCATGTCGTGCCAGCAAACATAGGGAGCTCGGGCAGTGGCTGCAGGGCTGGAGTGGAGCTCCCTGTGCACATGAACATGGCTTTTGTCACTGTAAAGGGTGGTCGAAAAGGTGGAAGGAATTAATAGAAGTTGAAGATTTTCCCAAGGTCTTGAAAACAAGTAAGATGAGCCATTAAGGTTGAGGTTTCACATCCCCAGACACCAAAACCCTGGCTGCAGCATCACTCCTGCACACCAGCTCCATGCTCTCCCGTGGAAGCAAGTGGCTGTTGTGATGCCTGCCTTCCCTGAATAGAACTCTGAGGCAGAAAGCTGCTTAATCCCAAGCCCCATCACAGAATTTCCATATCCCCTATTGCTAAATTTTGTGGGTCAGGGCAATCTCAGGAGGATTTAAGGTTTTATGTGTGGGAGAAGAGGAGCATCAAGGCTGTGTGTGCGGGGTGTGAGCTGCCCGCTCAGCGAGGCAGGACTCTTCCAGCTCTCCATGTCTCTGCCCATCTCCTGCAGTGGCCTGTGGGGACCCCCCTATGGTGGAGAACGCCAGGACCTTTGGTCGGAAGAAGGACCGCTATGAAATCAACTCCATGGTGCGATACCAGTGCGACCAAGGCTACATCCAGCGCCACGTGCCCACGATCCGGTGCCAGCCCAACGGGCAGTGGGAGGAGCCGCGGATATCCTGCATAAACCGTATGTAAAGGTTCCTTTACCTTCAGGTTAGGGCTGATCCATCCCTGCAGCTGGGAATGAAGGGGGCATCATCTTAGGGTGCGGGTGAGCTCTGGGCAGAAGGGGACATCATGGTCCCCATGACTTGTTGAAAGATCCCCTGTGATGGGGCAATGGGACTTGGCATCTTCAGGGCAGGTGTGGGCCACAGGAGGGACAGCCTGGGGAATTCATGGGTGCTCCTCCACTAGACAGGGCAGAGGCAGCTCCAGAGCCAGGAAAGGGCAACAAGGAGCTCACCAAGGGCCCAAGCTGATGAAAGAAAGGAAAGTAGTAGAAATGGCTTCTGAAAGGGTGAGTTTTGGCACTACCTGCATTAGCAGAGAGAGTTAGGAGGAGAGACCTGTAGTCTCCTATGGTCCCTTCAAGCCCTGGGAGTAGACAGGAGCCCTGCAGCAGAGCTAAGCCAAGGGACAGGGCTGGGTTCTTGACCCTTCTCCTGTCAGGGCTCCAGCTGACAGCAGCCAGCCCTCTCCCACTGGTGTCCCAGCCCATTCCCAGGCCTGCCTACACCCCTGTCCCATCCTTTTTCCTCTGCAGCTTCCCAGTAATCTCATCGGCCTCAGCCAAATCACATCTGTCCAGTGGCCTCCTCTCCAGGTTCTGGTCTGGCTGGGCAATTCCAGCTAAAGCAATGCTCCCATAGCCAGGGAGAGTCTGTATGGGCTTAAGGGACAAACCTCCGCCCTAGGGAGGAGATGGAAGGAGGAGGGATGGAGATGTCTCAGGGCAGCCCATAGTGCAGATGAAGCAGCTGATTCCCTTGGCTCTGCTGCAGACCCAGAGAGCTGCAGGCTGCTCCTGGCACGGATCACCAGCAATCAAGACAGCCAGGCAGTTCCAAACCAGCTTTTGCTGCTTCCATCAATCCTGAAATTATCACACTGGAGTAGTGCCAGATTTAAGGAAAATTGGCAGCAGAAATCAGGCAGAGACCTTGCTCCTGCCCGCCAGACAGGGCTGCTTCCCCTCCTGTGCCCTGAGTACATCCCACTGCTGAGGGATACTTCCTTCCCTGTCCTACAGGACTGGGGAGGGACCGGTATTGCAGCAGGTGAGATGGGGAAGCAGTCCTCATGCCCACCCTATTAGCAGAGCTAAGGGATGGGACAAGCACCCGCAGAGAGGATGCTGCTACCCAGTGCTGCCTGTGTTTGCCCAGGGCAGCCAGCGTGGGATGAGCAGCACCTCTATCCCACCTCCTGCTTACAAGGTGCCTTTTCTTCTCCTTCCTCTTCCTCAGCCTCCAACTACCAGCGCAGGCTATACAAAAGGAGCCCTAGGAGCCAGTCGAGACCCAGCGGCAGAGCCGTGCACAGACCCACCCATTAGAGCGGGGCCAGAGAGAGACACCGAAAGTGAGAAACAGAGATTTTTAACGGAACACTTCTATTAACAGAGTCGATTTCTCTTCTTCTTCTTCTTGTTGCTTTTTTTGTTGTTGTCATATAAGGAAAAACAAAAATTATATTAAAGACAAACCCACCTTTGTGTATATATATAAAAAACAATAATTAATGCGTTTTTTCCAAGCACCAAAGCAAAGCAAATTAGATCTCAGCATTTTTACTAACTGTCCGGTTCCAATTATCTTCGTGCCTTCGGGGACAGGGAGGGGGGTGGGTTTGCAGAGGGCAGGGGGTTAAGTTAAATAATAAAGATGAATATTTTGTCCTGATTTTATCCCCGAACAATGTAATTATTTCTGTTATTTAATCTCCGGGGTGAGCAGCACCTTTTTGGGGTTTTATTTTATTATTATTATTGTTTCTTTTCCAGAATCCTCCTACTGCTGCAGCACATCAGGGCTGGGGGGGGAGGGCCAGGGGGCTGTGGTGGAAGGAGCTATAGGAGGAGGGGAGGCGAGGGGATGCTGAGACCCGGGAGCCGGGGGCTGCAGCCCCTCTCTGCTTCCCTGCCACCCCCCCCGTCCTGGGACAACGTGCTCTTTCCAGGGGACCGTGCGGGGCACCAGCGTTCCCTGCACCTATTTATATTTTTGAACATATCCTATTTTGAAAGAATGATAAATAATAAAGAGAGTGAAATCGGAGCAGGCGCTCTGTCAGTGTTGTTTTTTAATGTGTGGGGCAGGGGTCTCCCATGGCAAAGCAGCGAGGAAGGAATGGGAGTCCAGACTGGGTGCTCCAAATGGGACCAGCTCAGCGCCAGCCAGCACCCAAGGGTTCAGCCCTGGGGACAATGGAGGTAGGAGGAAGAGTCCTAAGCCCCAGCTGAAGAAGAACCCTGGGGTAGAACATCACCCCCTTATTCAGGTCTCATCCTAGGAGCGGTTAACCCACAGACCTAAAACCCATCACCAGCAGGAACTGCTTCACCCTCCAGCTTTCAGTCCTCATACCCATAGGGTGAATTAACACCCATTAATGAGGGAGCACAAGGCCCTTGCAAGAGCTCAGGTGGGCGCGGGGCTGAGCAAGCGGTGATGAGATGATGTTCAGCCAGGAATCTCCACATCCTTTTTGTGGCAGACCCCTCTCTTTTGCTGGGGCAGAGATGGGGACGCAGCCACATCGCTCCAGGGATTTCTCCATGGGTTTATTAGAAGAGGTCCAGGAAAATACACATTTTCATAACCAAATGCTTTGAAGAAGAAGGCACCAGAGTTCAAGTGGAGTCCAGGCGAGGGGTGCATGGAGATAAGGCACTGGCACTCCCACAGGAACAGGCACAATGGCATCCTTCAGTAGGACAGGGCCGGGTTTGGGATGCAACAGAGACACCCACTCTCTGCCTCCGGTCCGTTCCAGCCTCTCCTCCCTCCCACGCCATGAGTTCAGGGGCAGGACCAGCCTGGAAGGGCAGGATGAGCCTGGAAGGGCAGGCAGGTGCTGGTGACATCCTACCACGCAGGAAGGGGCCACCACCCATAGGGTGGCAGGGGCCCATGGGGACCATCAAGGACAGCCCTGCGCTGCCCCAGCTGCTGAGCAGGACGTGGAAGATATAAAGGAAGTAAAAATAAACCAAAAAGAAGCCTCCCATCCCACCCCCACCCCGCTCCCCCTCAGTCACCCCAAAAACAGCCTTGGGCAATGCCCAACACTGGGCACCATCAGGCTGGAAACATCCTCTGGACAAGAAGGAGCCCTCCCTTTCCTTATCTCTCTTTGTAGCAGAAGACCCCAAACCTGCCCTTGCTGGGGAAGCCGAAGCTGCGGACACCAGGCTCCGGAGGGCCACAGTTGGCGCGGGGCTTGGCAATGGGGTAGCGGACGCTGCCATCTGCAAGCCAGCCGGCATCGCAGCGGTCCAGCCCCAGGAACTTCCAGGCAGAGTAGAGCTGTCCCACCCGGGCAATCTCAGCCCCTGCATCCTGGCAGCTCTGCTTGGCTTCCTCCAGCGTCATCCCAGCCGTGTGGTCCAGGTAGAAAACTTCTCCTAGGAGAGAGAAGGGAGCATCAGTGCTGAGCATCATCCGGAGCATCCCCACACAGAGCATCCCACCCCAGGCTGAGCCCTAAGGGTACAAGATCCCTGGCCCAGCACCTACCTCTGAGTGTGGAGGAGAAGCAGAAGGCATCAAAGCGGTGCAGGTGCCGGTGGCGTGGGCCATAGCTGCGGATGCCTGGGGCGAGCTGCAGCCCGCCACAGGGCTTGCGGGGCAGGCGGATGGGGTACTGCACGGTGCCATCGGCCAGCCAGCCTGCATTGCACCAATCCAGCCCCTCGCTCCAGGCCTGGAAGAGCTGGTTGAAGGTGGCGAGGATGGCGCCTTGCTCCTGGCACACTCGCTCAGCTTCGTGGAAGTTGAGCCTGTACTGCCCATGGGGAGGCTGGTAGGGGAACACGATGCCTGGGGAGGGACAGGGCACTCAGCCGGCTTCCATGGGTAGCCCCCGTGCGTCCCCAGCCCATCCCAAATTCAGGCTCTGGGACAGGGACCACTCCAAGGCTCAGGCATGCAGGGATGGGGATGCTGCAGGGATGCAGGCACTAGCGGCGAGTTGCCAGCGACATCTGGTGGCACAGGGACACAGGGACCTGGGGACACATGGACCACCTTCACGGGGATGGCACCTGCACATACAGGGATGCATAGCCTACGATAGCAGGGATGCAGGGACCACCACCACAGGGTCATAGGGACCACAGTCCTGGGGACACATAGGCCGGGGTCCCAGGGGGCGCATGGACCACCCCTGTGGGGATGGGGAGATCATCATCACAGGTATGTGCAGGCTTACAGGAACATGGACACAAGGACCAGCATCATGGGGATGCATGGGCCACAATCCCAGGGACACATGGCCCACCAGCATGGGATGGATGTACAATAGGAACATGTGCACCACCACGGACCACAGCCACGGGGGCTGGTGGGGACAAGGGGATGGGCAGGGGGACAGCAATAGGGACATTTCCACAGCTCTCAGCTTGGCAGTGGAGCCGGGCCTGAATCAGATCCCTCGTTCCAAGTGAAGGAAAAGGGGTTGGTCCAGTCACCAAGGTGCATCCCAATGCAGGGGACATCCAGAGCTGGGAGGCGAGGGGCAGCTGCACATGATGCAGCACAGCAGGAAGATGGGTGGTAAAGGCAGGAAACACTGCAGCCATGGGGGCACCCCCAACTCCAACTCCTCAGTAGCATCCCCAGCATCCTGCTCTGGGCTCCACTCACTGTCAGACAGCTCCAAGCCACCACCCCATCACACCAAGCCTCCCAGTCCCCCACCCACCAAAGAGGGGTGCCATGGGCAGGCCAGGCTCCCTGGCTTGGCACAGGGGGTCCTGCAGTCCCCATTGTGCCCGCACCTTGCAGCCGGAGGTCCACCACTTCGCTTTCATCCTCCAGCCCATCGATGACCTCGCAGCGGTATTTGCCATCATCCTGCAGGCGCACATCGCTGACCACCAGCGAGGCCTCGCGCCGGCCACCCTGGCGGAGGTGAGCGCGGCCACGGAAGTCCCCAAAGGCCACGTAGGTCTTGCCAATGGCCACCAGCACGTCCTGCTCCTTGGTGTAGTCGTCCCGTAGCTTGGACCACTTGATGCGGATCTTGCGCTTGGACTCCAGGTCGGGCTCATAGCGGTAGTGGCAGGGCAGGGTGACGTTGCCACCATTGAAGCTGTAGACGGGGTCCTTGGGAGTCTCCACCAAGAGTCTGGCTCCATTGAAGTAAACCACTGGGGATAGAGAGGGAAGGCATGATGGGCAGGTCATGAGCATCCCCAAATCTCCTTCCAGCCACTTCTTCAACCTAAGCATCCCATGAGCATTCCCCGAGCACCTCTGGAGCATCCCTGCCTGCTCCTCTGGGCCCCACATCCCCCCAGTGAGATGGGACCCAGCCCCATCCAGAGAAAGGGGGACACTTCAGCCCCTTCCACCAACCCACCAGGCCCCCTTTCCTGCCCATCCCTGATGTACCTTTCTCCTGCCCGTTGCCCTTGTCGTTCATGATGTGGTTGTAGTAGAAGCCGTTGTAGAAGGGGTGGTGGGAGCCGCTGGCCAGGCACAGCAGGGCAGCCTTCAGGAGCAGTGGGAGCAGCAGCATGGCTGAGGAGCGAGGCCAGACCCTGAGCCTGGGCTGTGGAGGGGGAAAGGGCTGTGATAACACCCCACAATAACCAGGAGTGCTCCGAGCTGCCTGGCACATAGCTCTGGGCTGCACCCATCGCAGGGATGCAAGGAGAGGGGTGGGAAGAACCAGCAGAACAGCTTCAGGGGAGGGTACAGGCAACCTGAGCCATGGCCCCAGACCTGCCCCACAACTCCCAGTCCCCTCCATCCCCATCCTCCTGCGTGGATCTCACCATGCACCACTGCACTCAACACTGCCGCCCGCTGGGGCTTGAGGAGCACCTGACCCAGAGGGGAAAACCGAGACCAAGCAGGGATCAGTGCATCCAGGAGAAACGAGATCCCGGGATGTCCTTTGAACTGGGAGTACCGGGAAAACATCACGTATGGGATGTGGGGGGAGAGAAATGGCCAAGCCCCGCGGTAAGCTCAGTTTACAGAGGCAACCGAGCGTGCAACCCAGCGAGGAGGGGAGGAGAGAGCTCGGGGCTGCCCCAGCACTGGACAGAGCCGGGGGGCACCCACCCAGCATGGCTGAGGACCCCGTGCTCTGACCCTGGGCTGCTATTTCACACCACAGACACGGCTGGCACCATCCCTGTGCAACACGTTTCCCTCCCAGACCACATCCCCTGAGTGCAGGGAAGCCCGGCTGCCCCATAGCACCGGAGACCCGTGCTGCCCGAGTTCTGGGCGCCCCGCATGGGGCTCACCCAGGGCAGATCACAGCGGTATTTGCCGGCTTGCGAGCTCTCCCGGAGCCGGCAGAGGGGGCCCGGCACCCGGCAAGGCTCCGGCAGCCCCCTTCCAAAGTGGGGAGGGGTCTGGCACAGCTGCCCCTGCTTAGGCAAGGTCTATGGGTGCCTGCAAAGGTGCCCCGGGCCAGGGCGCTGTAGGAGTGAGGATGCTCCGCCCGATATGGGGTACAGAGGTGGTCTCTGGGGACCAGGGCATGAACCGGCTGCTGTTGCCATCATGGGTTGCTCGCTCCTGGTCTACCCTCCATGGCTGGTGCTACTGCTCACCCGCCTGTGGGGTGCAGCCACCCGATAGGGTGTGCAGAGACAGTGCTGCAGGGCA